GTAAAAGTTACAATTTTTTCATTTTTTTTTCCTTTTTTTTGCTAAATTTTGAATTCTTGAATGATAAATTTCTAAAAAAAAATGAAAAAATTAATTATATAATTGCAGACATTACATGCTTATCATCCAAAATCATCAACAGCATTCAAAGAAGAAGTTGCAGAAGCTGTTGGTCTTCTTTGTGATGCTGATCATTTTCAATATTTCTTTACGGATCGTGATGGTACCTTAAAATCATATTGTTGTAACTATCAGGCTAGCATACAACCAGCATATTCTGCTATTATTCAGGTTTAAATTTGTTTATATTATAAGATTAAACTATCATCATTATCATTAAAATATTAAAAAAGAAAGAAAATTCTCATTTTAATAAATTATAGTATTTTAAATTAATTAAAAAAGAAATTGCTTTAATTATTTCATTTCAATTGATTATAGTATTTTAAATTAATTGAAAAAAAAATTACTTCAATTATTCCATTTAATCATTCGTTTTTTTTTTTGCTTTAATTATTTTACTTTATTGCAATTAATTTTGATGAAATTTTTTTCAAAGAATGCATAAAAAAACATTGGCAATAATTAACTGATAAATTGATTTATCGAAATTTTTAAAAAAATATGAATAAATTAAATTTAATTATATTTTCAGATCTTTTTTTTTTCTTTTGAAAAAAAAAAAATGTCCCTATGAGGCATCATATGCCTAAAATGCATGATTATAGTTGTAATAGAAAAAAAAAGTACTTCAATTTTTATATAAAATTACAAATATGCATATGAAGTGCCTTAAATTACATCAAATTTCCTAAAGTTCATCTTAATCAATAATGAATTTTATATTTTATTCAAAAAGTTGTATTGCTATTTCCGTTTTTTTTTTTTTTTACAAATCGAATAAAAATTTGGAATTTTTTATTTCTTACTGTAGGAAAAGTATTTCTTTCTTTTTTTTTTCAAGTGAAATGAATTTTTAATCAGTTAAAAATTTTATTTCAAATAATTTTAGGCTCAATTTGCTAGACGTTGCGCTCAAACATGCGCA